GGGCGGCCCCGAGCGAGTGCGGGCTCCCGTGCTGCCCCCGGCTGCGTTCTGCAGCTTTCCTTCATCTCTGAATTTGTAAACAACTCATTGAACTCTTAGGAAAGAATTTAGAACCAAGCCCAGTTTTCGTTATGGAATAGTTTAGGTAACTGATAGCAACTGTAGTTTGCTGACGAGGTTGTTTAATGTTTGGATGAAGTGGGAAAACCCAGAACTCCTTTACAGATTTCCCCAAATCTTTGGTTTGTGGCAGTTCAAGGAGCTATTGTAATTTGAGTATCGCTTTCGGATAGGAAGTTTTCAGTCGCTGAAACCACCAAACCTCTTAGAAATAGACACATGATGGGAAAGCTAATAAACGTGTACTACATTGATGAGTTCATCCTTAAGTCTTAATTTTTTATTTTACGATTTTATGATGTTTGTTTTTTTGTTTTGGTACCAGGGATTGAACTCAGTTCCTCGTGCTTGAGAGGCAGGCGCCGAAACCACGGAGCTAAATCACTGGTCCCTTCTTTTACGATTTTTAATATCTGGATTCTTTCAACAGGGGAATGTCATTTATATTTGTCATAGGCAAGTTTAATCTTGTGTTACTCTGTTTTTCCAGATGATATATTCTTCATTCTGTGATCATCACTCAGGTTAAGGGGAAGACAAATGTTTTAATGTTCTTTGGCCCATTATTGCCAATGTCAGTAACTTTTCTCTTTTAGTCTAACAGTTCCATCTCTTATAGCTTTTTCTCTTAGGCTCTGTTCTATTTTCTGCCTCTGAGGGCTTGTTTTTGGATTTGGTTAGGTTTTTTTGTTTACGGAGGGGAAAGGGCCTTTGCTGTTGGATGGAATCCTGGATTTACCGTTAACCAGGTATATAAAGGTTCTGAGCTGTCCTCTGGAGGCCCATCAAACTTAATAAGTCAAAGATAAAGAGTAAAGAGCAGTTTAAGAGTTTGGGTATAACTTACAAAGAAAACTCATTAACTTCTAATTTCGAGTAGCTCTTCTCAGTTTAGTAAGGTTAACTGTTTTACCTAAAAATGGAATTTATGTTGATTCTCTTTACAAGCTAAGACACTTCTAGCTTGTTTCATTGTATTGTAGTTGTTTATACATATTTTTCTTTGCTTTTTGAAACTGTTTGAAGAATTTAAACTTAAATATCAAAGTAAAATGTTTATTCTGTAAAGTTCTCTTTTGTTCAATTAGGTGTTTGGGGACCAGTAAATCTGCCTGATTGAACTGGTGGAATCGAATTAGTAAGTTGTGTAACAGTTGGCCATTTCTAACCATGGTATTAAGACTTGTTTGATGCTCTTCTTAAAGGATTAATGGGTTAAGACTTTTAAAGTAGGTAGTTCAGGCCAGAAGGTTAAGATAATCTATGCAAAATAATCTCACTAATGGGTTAAGACTTTTAAAGTAGGTAGTTCAGGCCAGAAGGTTAAGATAATCTATGCAAAATAGATTCTGCCTGAAGAATTGTTCTGTGACCTGGGGCATGACACTTCACTCTTTCTCAGAATCACCCTTCCTGAAATGATCACTTACCTACCTCACAGGGTTGTTGTGAGGATAACTAAGACCTTTATTGGAAGGTTCCTTACCAATAAAATGCTTATAAATAATTACATACGTATACTAAATAGCATAGCCATGAAGAAGCCTTAAGGAGTAAGTCCTAACAAATTTTGAGAAACTAAGTATGTGATATTCATTTTTTTTTTTAATTTTTGCTGTTAAAAATTGGGGACAGTTTTGAGTTCATTCTTAGCACCAAATTAGTATAACAATGTAAATTAAATTTGTGATTTAGCATTGTATATGTACACAAACTGTATAAGCATAGGACAAAACCTCTCTCCATAGTTTATAGGCTTTGATGTAGATTGTGAATGCATATGCTAGGGAACCTGTTTGATATTTTCCTACTAGGACTTTTTGTGCTTTTGCTCTGATACAGATATTTCTTTCTAGGTAATTGTCTTGGGAACCCCTGCAGAAGAAGATGGTGGTGGCAAAATTGATTTAATTGAAGCAGGTGCTTTTAAAAACCTTGATGTTGTTTTTATGGCCCATCCATCCCAAGAGAATGCTCCTTATCTACAGGATGTAGCTGAACATGAGTAAGTAATCAAGCTGAAGGTAAACTTCTTAGTGGAAAACAGGATGTGTCTTGTATGTCTAAATCAGAGATTTAAACTTTCACATTTATGTATTGCAAAATAAATTGAGTTTGGTACAGTAGCATGTGCCTCTAGTCTGAGCCACTCAGGAGGTAGGAAGATCACTTGAGTTTGTGAGTTCAGACTAACCTGGGCAATATCAGGAGACCCTGTATCTTAAAAAAAAACAAATAGTAAGTTGAAAGATAATGATAGGCTATCTTGACTTACATTAGATGACTTTTGACAAGGCTCTTTTAATTCATATTTATTATGGTGTTCATAAGTGAGCTATCGAAATAATACCTTAAAACATAGGAATGATATAGTTAGCTGGGCATCGTGGCATACATCTATAATCTGAGTACACTGGGAGGCTGAGGCAGGTGGATTGAAAGTGAGCCCCACGTGGCCACTGGTGAGACCCTGTCTCAAGATAAAATGGTTAGGGTTAATAGTTCTATGTGAAAGCTGTGTTCAGTCTCTGGTACTGCCAAAAATAAATAAAACAAAAATTAAAAACAAAAAATATTGATATTCATGTTCTATTTTGAACTCTGAGAATAATATGATTTTTGGAATATATGTGTCCTTTGAAATGAAATTGCTTTTTTGACTGAAAAGATTTGCAAGAAACAGTTGGGAAGAAAACACACATCTCCATTTTATTTATTTCTGTTTGGTCTTAACAAAGAGGATAAATTATGTCCTGAGCCAGAATATAGAACCTGAATACCATTGTGACTATAATCTGATTTTCAGATGTTGTATTAATTTCAAATGTTACTTTTTGTCTTCTGACCTTCAGACAGAATTATCTGAATTTTTGCAAACTTAATGAACCATTACAATGCAGTGTAAAAGAAGACAGGATCTTCTTTTGTGTAATATTTGATCTGCAGAAGGTGATTGAGCAAAGTTGCCTCTCTTGTGGGAATGCTTTCTTTGCATCAGGCACACTGTTACATAATAAAATAATAAACTAACATAAGTAAATTACAATGCTTTTACTATAAGTGATTTGCAAATCAAAATTTTAGCAATCTGAATTAGTTTTGAATAACTGCAATTCTTCTGGGATTTTTTTTTTTTTTTTTGAGACATGTAGTTCAAGCTGGCCTTAAATCCACTACTTAGCCCAGGCTGGCCACAAACTTCCAGTGATCCTCCTGCTTCAGCCTCCTGAGTGCTAGGATTACAGGTGTGTGCCACATGCCTAACTGGATTTTCTTACTTTAGGGATATGGAGAAAGTAATTTCAGATGATTTTTTTCCTAGTGTGACTGTGAAATACTATGGAAAAGCATCTCATGCTGCTGCTTACCCTTGGGAAGGAGTAAATGCCTTAGATGCTGCTGTTCTTGCCTATAACAATCTGTCTGTGTTAAGACAGCAAATGAAACCAACCTGGAGAGTTCATGGTATGAATATCAAATACTTTGTATAATAGATGATGTTTAATATATTTCATTGCAACATAATTATGTAATATTAGATTTAAAAATACACTTGGAAATACTTTAAGTGCTTTATATGAATATTTTAAAAAATTTAACCATATTTTCAGAAAATTATGTGACTACAATGTTTGTATATGGGTAGGAAGACAGGATCATTGTACATAAATTGAAATGGTCATCTTTGGAGTAATACAACAAAAGGTTTTATGTAGGTGGCTACATTCTTTTTGTGGGTATTTAAAGGGTGGAATTGATTTTCCACTGTCTTAATAATTTCAAGGTATTGTCATTTCCTTAATATGTAATGACTGCTGGTTTTATTTAAAACACATGTGCTGTTTAATCCTGAATAAAATCATTTAAAATTATGCTCATTGCCATAATATAAATCCATTAATAAAGTACTATCTCAAAGGTACAAATGTCATTTTTTAGTTTATTTCCTTATGATTTAGGAAACTGTTTTACTTATATATAATTTCTTTAACTGATTTTGCTGTAGGCTAAAGTCAGTCTGTAACTGGACTTTTACCTACTTGTCTTAGTTTCCTTAAAAGGAACAAATAAGGGCTGGAGATTTAGCTCAGTGGCAAGTCGCCTGCCTCCCAAGTGCAAAGTCCTAAGTTCAATAACCAGTATTGGGAGGGGGACAAATAAGATTTTTTTAGAGCAGACATATTTTATTATTAAGTAGGTCATATGGAATTAAATTTTGTATCTCTAGTTAATACTTTGAGTGGGTAAATCTTCATTCTATGTAATTCTAAATAAATGTGGGATTTTGGGGGGCAGATTATAGAATCTAGTGATCTTTTATCTGTATTGGTTTCTTCTTGGTGTAAAAATTATTTTCCCAATCCTAGATGCCATTTAAAATATTCATGGGATTCTTAAAGTATGAGAGTAATTATAAAATCTATATCATTGTTTTTTGGGGGGAGGATTTTATTTTTTCAGTATAGAAGATTTGTTTGGTAGGTTTCTCATTTTTGTTTTTGTGTTGTTGTTGTTGTTTACTTTTTTCATTGGTGGTTTTGGGGGCTGAACCAAGAGCTTTTATGGTTAGTAAACTTCCCAGGCAGCACAAATCTATTACGCTCCAGCCTCACCCTCTCAGAGTGCTGGGATTCTAGGGATATGTAACCATGCCCAGCTTTTTGTTATCCTTTTGAGACATGGTCTCATTGTGTAGTCAGGCTGGCCTTGAACTCACCATCCTCGTGCTATAGCCTCTCAGTACTGAGATTCCAGGTACACCCTCATATTGACTTGGTTGTTTTTTTTAGGTCAAAGTTTATCAAACCATACAACTAATGGTCTCAAGAAAGCTTAAGATAGTACTTTTTTGTAGTTAGGTAATTTCTAACAGTTTCTATATAGTGTAGATTATAATTTTGTTGTTTGTTCTTTTTATAGTGCTGAGGGTCAAACTTGAGGCCTCACACATACTAGGCAAGCTAGTGCTCAGGTACATCATATGCCTTCATCATAATTTCTTCACATTATCTAGATTCCTTAGATTAAAGTACATAATATAGTCAGTTTTTTCCCATTAGCTGTGAATAATCACTACCTGTATAGAAACTTGTACACGATATCAACATCTTCAATTAGTATATCTGTGAAGCTAAGAAATTTATATTATTTTTCTTTATGGATGTATTAAAGCTTAAAATAATGATCACCAAGCTTAATTCCAGTAATTTGGTTCTTTTTATAGGTATAATAAAAAATGGTGGTGTAAAACCCAATATCATTCCCTCTTATTCTGAATTAATCTATTACTTCCGTGCACCCTCAATGAAAGAACTTCAAGTTTTGACCAAAAAGGCAGAAGATTGCTTCAGAGCTGCAGCTTTGGCCACAGGGTGCACAGTAAGAACTTTCAGAGTTAATTATAATCAGGGGTATATATGTGGGTTTAAGCTGTTTCTATGAAGTTAAATTGAAACCCAACTTACCTCTTTTTCATTTGGTGATGGTTTTTGTTGTTTTGGGTGATGGAGATTAAATACAGGGCCTTGTGTTTGCTGCTGATGTCTTGAATATGCAAAATGAGTTAGCTGAATAGTTAACGTGAAAGCCTTTAATTATGTATTTTATTCAGTGTCTGCAATATGAAAACTATAGGTCACCTCACTTATACACTAACTACAATAGTTTAGATACTGCTACACTAGAATCCCTGACTTTTTGCAAGTATATCCTCCCTTATTGGCAGATATGCTTTTAGAATTGCTTTATATACAGTAGTTCCTGAAAAAAAGACTTCATAACAAAACCTACTAAAGCTGTTTTCGGTGTAGTGATATGAAAGTGTATTAGTGATATAAATATGGTTTGCTAGAACGGAAGTTAAAGTATACACAGAAGGTAGTCATGATGTTTTGTTGAGTTGAACAGAAAATATCAGACTATATGATGTCAAGTAGATGAGTTTTAGAATTATACAAAATAAGAATGTTGTACTTAGTTTAGTTGGACAAATAGAATCTTGACCTGTGCCTCTCAGCCTTGCTTATTCTGTAGCCTGTAGAAACATTTACTATCTCTGGACCTCTGTTTTCTTACTTAAAAACATAGGGAGACAATATTATCTTGGGATTCTTGAGAGAGGTTAAACCAGTTGTTGTGAAGACATTAGAGCCTAGCCTTCATATGTATTACTTAGGTTTTTCTGTACTTAACAGTCTAGTGATGTATGGTTTATTAACATAGTAACATTGTCTCAAAGTAGCAGTAATTTCCAGACATTGTATGTCAAGTGTTCTAGGAATGGCACAGACAGTAAATGGCAGGAAGAATCTGAAACAAGAAAGCTGTGTTCTGGGACCATTAAGAAGAAGGTGTCATGGAAGACTGTACATCTGAATTGAACTTTGAAGGATGATAGTACTACTTTCAGATATGTGAAAGAATGAGAGGTCTCAGAGAATGTAGTCAGCAAAGATAAGAATGTAAAAATTTATGGTCAGTATTTTAAATATTTATAAAACTGTCTTAGGTTTTGTTGCTAGGACAAAATACTTGACACCCACAAGTTCAAGGAGGAAAAGTTTATTTCAGCCCGCAGTTTACAGAGTTTAGTCTACTGCTCCAAGGCATAGTGGCAAGGCGGAGGAGAAACAGTCCTTGGCAATAGGCAGGAAGCAGCAACAGCATGAGCAAGCTTCGCTTTGCCTTTCATTCCATCCAGGCTATCAGCCTTTGAGTAGTGCCAGCCACACCCAGGATGGGCCTTCCTATTGTCTGTACCCAGAACTATGCTAAATCAATCAGGGACTAAGTTTGCACTATACAGTCTTAATCTCAGTATCGCACACTAGATCCTGCCAGCTCCAAAAAGCCCCACCTGTGAGTACACGAGGTTTTGGGGGGACATCTAGGGATATGCCATAACAAAATACATGCTGAACTATTATGATTAACTAGTATCTGAAAATGTACAATAGCCTTTGAGTGTAGAGCTTATTGTTGTTAGATTTGAACCTATATTTTAAACATTCTTTTAATAATTTCTAAAATAATTTCTTTAATAATTTTGACTGACTTGTAAGATCTGATTACAAGGTTGGCATTATTTCTACCTTAGTTATCGCCAAATGTGATCTCTGCTATTTTATGATTAGCTTTTGCTAACTTTTGGAATTTAGTTTGAGAGAATAGTGCACATTTTGATTCCATCAAAATGAAGTCTGTTAGTCTATGTAGCTGGGCACACATAAACTGCTTCTGTGTTTTCATACACTTGAATTAATAAATGAGGATCATTTTCAGCTCTTCCTTGTTGTGAGGCTTCTGTATTTCTCGGGTCCCTTTCAGATGAGGCAGTGGTGTCAGTGTCTGTTTGTGTATTGAATGTTAGTAATGCAGAATTTCTTTCTTTTGGAGATGAAACAGAGCAGTGTTCCTCAAAGAATGTGGTTTTTTTGTCCATCTGTATCAAAATTACTTGGGGGTATCAAAATTGAAGTTTCTGGGTTATCCAAACCCTTTTTAGATGATTGAAGTTGGCACATGCTGGTAGTATAGAGCTTGGTGACATTATAAGGTTTGGTGCATAAATAAGATAGGGTTTATGGACTCTTTATAAAAAATAAAAATATATGTAAGAGATTTGAGAGAATATGTATCTGGATGTGAAAGTGCCTGCTCTTAATATTTCTTCCTTTTTGAAACCCAACCCTTGTTTGAAATTACTTATTTGAGTTTTTTTTATTTCAAATTTTGTTTTATAATTTTTATTAGGTAGAAATTAAAAGTGGAGCACATGATTATTACAATGTTCTTCCTAATAAGAGCCTATGGAAAACTTATATGGAAAATGGAAAAAAACTGGGTATAGAATTCATTTCAGAAGATGCGATGTTGAATGGCTCTTCAGGTAATTAAGTTCTTTTATTTACTGAGTTATTTGAGGAAGAGAAATGCCATCTTTGGTCAAATGGCTTTGATTAATGGTTTGGAGGTGAAGAGGTTCTGCTGATGTGTTTTCCCCGCATTAATTTTTTGGCACATTTAAAGCAAACAGTACAGTTTGATGTTTTAAACGGTATTTTCGCAAACTTTATGGTCAGGGGAAAGAAGCCAACATACTTTTCAATGAGTGTAAAATGTCAAATTAACAGATTTGTTTTTAGCAATAGCCAACCCACTTTTTGGTCTACATTTTAAATATTTCTAGTGTTTAAATTCACTTAAAATTTTGAAGTAATATAATAAAATGGGAAATAAATTTTAACTTGTTCTCAGTCATCACAATAAACAAGTTATAAAGTACTTGGTTATCTTAGCAATTTCAGATTCAAGGAGTAACAGATGATTATTAGAATTTAAATAATCATATTTGGGTTTATTTTAGATTTACTTCCTTTTATAATCATATTATTACTATACATTTGCAAGTTAGAGATGTTTCTCCTAAATATAATAAATATTAATGAAGTAGATCCCAAAGGACTTGGTGATAAAAATGGAGTGTCATTGTCATTCACTGAGAGAAGGAATTCAAGAATGGTTTGGGGCCAGGTGGGTTGGTATATAGATTGTTAGCATGTTAAATTTGAGGTGCTTGTATAATTTCTAAGTGGAACTGTTTAATAGCCTTTTTGAGTTTGGAACCCTGAAAGATATCTAGGTTGAAGACTTAGGAGTTGTTAATATATGGGAGGTAGTTAAAGGTATTAATGAGATTGTCTTGAGCTCAGAGAGCTCAGAGATGCCCAAAGTGAAATGTTGGGATCAATAGCATTTAAGATATGGCAAAGAAAGTAGTTTGAGAAGGAGATCGAATAGTTAGAGAAAGCTGGATATTCATGGGAAAGTGAAGTCACAGAAGCCAAAGGAGTAGAGAACTTCTAGACCAGGAATAAATAATGTCAGGTGCTGAAGAGACTGAATAAGGTAAGTGTGGTCCGTGTCTGTTGGACCAGCAATAAGAAATTTATAGATGGTCTGGAAGACAGTTGAAGACCAGGTGAGACCAGATGCAAAATCTCACTTCTCCACCCATTGTATTTATTTGCTGTTGAAACAGTAGAGATAGCAAAGGAAGACTCTTCTTTTTCAAGAAATAGCAAAGAAAGAGCCTTTTCCAAGAAAATTAGCTTTAAAGTAAAATAGAATAGGTGCAAACTTGAGGGAGACTTGGAAAAATTTTTAAAAGAAATATTGACAGAAGTAGTTGAAGGTAAATTTTAGGAAGGAGGGCAGATAAAATCTCACTTCTCCACCCATTGTATTTATTTGCTGTTGAAACAGTAGAGATAGCAAAGGAAGGCTCTTCTTTTTCAAGAAATAGCAAAGAAAGAGTCTTTTCCAAGAAAATTACCTTTAAAGTAAAATAGAATAGGTGCAAACTTGAGGGAGACTTGGAAAAGATTTTTAAAAGAAATATTGACAGAAGTAGTTGAAGGTAAATTTTAGGAAGGAGGGCAGGAGTGGAGAGACATCCTTCCTAGGAAGCTGTTGGTAGTACAAGGTGAATGTTAGATGGTTAGCTGGAGGATTGCTAGAGAATTGCTGTGGAAAGAAGTTGGCCAGGCCCATCAGAGGGGTATATATTGTGCACATGCATTTTCTGAACGGTACTGAGAGCTCAGCTCCGTTCTAAAGACTATGAATTTGTTGTCAAGGCAATTTCTTAGTTCTATGCTTGTACCCTAGCATGTTTCTGCATTCTCGCTATCAGCGGAAGGAGTCATAGTCAGATTCAGCCAAGGTTTGCCTTATATATAATAGACAAAACATTAAAATAAAGGGGCTGTGATTTGAATATGATTTCTAGGCTTTAGGGCCATGCCCACAAGTAAGATGCTAAAATATGCAGTAGGCTTTTGTCCATCTTGTTACTGCTCTACCACCTCATGTATTCCCAGTATATGGAGCCATTATAGAACCTCAAAGCCTGGTCTTGATCTGCCTTTACCACATAACTAGTAACTATGAGAATATGGGCACATTATTTCATATCTATAAACCTCAGCTTCTTCCTGTATAAAATGAGAACTGTTCAAAATATTAATTAATAATATTAATAAATATGAAGCATGTAGAATTATGTTTAGGATGTGCTGATTCCAAATGTTAGCTCCTGTTACATATTTTTGCTTTCATTCCCTTATCACTTATTCCTATGTAGTCTAACTATGCCTGGCAGTTTTTGATTCATAATAAGCAGTCTGTAAATATACATTGAGTGGACACAGGGCTTTGTTTTCACTATGATTTACTGAAAAAAAAGTTAGTCTCAGTCATGTAAAAGGTTAGATGCATGCTGATTTGTTTTGGTTTTTTTTTCAGCTTTAATTGAGTTTATTGGTACATTTTAGGGATACAGTACAGTTACATTCATTGTTGGGATCTTGTACCTCTACATGACAAGTCTTGGTTCTCATTTTTTCCCCTTGTGCCTGCCCTCTGACTTCTTACTTTATTGAGATTCATGATCTGGTTTGTAAGACAGGCATTGACCAATAATCCAATAAATGGAAAACTGACACTGAAAAGTTCTGTACATTAGAAAATTAATACAATACTGTGAGTGTCTCTGCTAGAGGAAATTGGCCTTACTAGGGAGGTGAAGTAAGCCTTCCCCAAGGAAATGGTGTTTAACATGATATCCAAAGGGTAACAAGTAAAGTTGTTAAAGACAAGACATCGTGTGCAAAGTCTGTGGTGGAGCAGAGCATGGAGAGTGTCCAGAGCAGCTGGATGCTAGAGGATAAGTGGGACCTTGTTATGAGATCAGGCTAGAAAGGTGAATGGAGTCAGATCAGGCCATGTAAGACTGAAAAAAAATTAGCAAATAGACCAATTAGGAGACTGTTATATTAGTTCAGGAAGAAGTGATCTAGTGTAGAATGCTTGGAAAAGGAAGACAGGTATTGGTGAAGGTGATGAGAAAAGTGTTATGATTCTGAGCTGTTTGGGAGGTATTGCCAACAGGTGGACAGAGGAAATAGACCTCAATATCATGAATTTCAATACATCCAACAAGAGATACCAGGTTGCCAATTGAATCTTAAAGAAGACTAAGAATTAATTAATTTGATTTGGTGGTCATTGAAGCAATACTCAGTGGACAGAATCTTGAGAAAGAATGAGGTGTAAGAAAAGGAAAGGGCCTAGAATTGAGTCTTGAATAATTAGTACTTCATGGTTAGAGGTGGCTGTCCCAAGAGAGACGGAAGAAGGGCTGTCAGAGTTCACAGATGGGAGGACAACAGTGGAGTGCTACTTGGAGGGCAAGTGAGAGTAGCTGTTGGGCTGGTGAGCAGATCCAGGAGATGTTCTGAGGCCTGTGGGGCAGTGATGGAGGTGGAAGCAAATAAGTGGAGGGGAGGCTGTAAGAGCACGAGTGCACGGACAGCTCTCCACGAAGTTCACTTCTTTAGATCTCTTAACAGGGTAGAAAACTATAGCTGAGTACAGGTTTCTGGTTATAATTTCATCATTCAAAAGTATTTAACCAAATATACATTTTGTACTCTGTGTATTCTAAGGATCTACCGATTTCGGAAATGTTACTTTTGTGGTTCCTGGAATTCATCCATATTTTTACATCGGATCTGACGCCTTGAATCATACTGAACAATACACAGAAGCTGCAGGTAAGTGTCAGACTTGAATGTCTATCTGGTGTGTTCTCTTTTACTGGTAGTAGCTGCTTTTCTTATTTCACTACCTAACATCACCTGAGAAAGTACTATACTGTGTGTGACAGGCAGTTGGAGAGGCAATAGATATTGTGAAATAACTTGAATTAATTTTTAATAACTATGGAGATATTTTAATTCACTTTTTCTATCTTTTAGGATCACAAGAAGCTCAGTTCTATGCTTTACGTGTGGCCAAAGCTCTGGCAATGACTGCACTGGATGTTGTTTTTAAACCAGGGTTGCTGGAGAGAATCAGAGAGGACTTTAGATTGAAACTTCAAGAAGAACAATTTTTAAATACAGTAGAATAAAAGGAAGACTTAGAAGTCATTTATGAATCAAGAAGAAATGATAATTTTTCTTTAATCTTTCTAAAGAAAACACGTTCATTTTTCAATCTTTTTTTTTTTTTGGTTCCGGGGATCAAACCTGGGTCCTTATGCTTGTGAGGCAGGTGGCGGAACCAATAAGATAAATCCCCAGCCCTCATTTTTCAATCTTAAAGACAGGCTTTTTTATGTGGTAAGGACAGGATGAGGAGAAAACACTCATCTAAAAATTAAAATATTTGCAAGTCTATACTTGCTGGAATTGTGATATTTCTGGAGTTGGTATGTGAAACCAGTTCCTAAAAGAAGCTAGATGATACATGATTTATCGCTGATAATATTTTATAAATGTATATGTTGTATATTTGGAAAGGTCCAAGGAATTTCAAACCTTGAATTTTCACCTATGAGTTTTATGGTATGAGCGGGAAACATATTCTCTGAAGTAATTTTAAAGTTCACATTTTAAGTTTAGGCAATGTTTGTTTCAAATATCTGACTACAGTTGCTTTGGTTTAGAAAAATTCTTCATTTGTAATAAAAGTAGCCTTTTAATCAGAAATGCTTGTGGAAACAGCTAGGAACTCAGGTACAAAGAATAAGCTTTGGTTTTACCATTTGAAGGGAAATGAGAATGTTCTTTTTTTACATGTAGTTAACTCAGAAGTGGCACTAAAGTAATTCCTAATGCAGTATATGGTAACATGAAATATTACAGAACAACAAGATTGGACCCTTCCTATAAGGTGTTTGTGTGGTAGCCCAGGACATTCTAGGAGAACTTGAAAGAGGAACACTGGCTGGCACCTGCTTTACTCTGAAATCTTCGGAGTCCCCCACTAGTGTCTTCTTGGAAGCCAGCCTGGCTCACCCAACTCCACAGAGTTCTGAGCCTTCTTAGGCCTCATGCTAGCCCAGTATTTATTAAAACTTACTAGAAGTTTTTCATGGTTCCTCAGAGTGAATTTCTTAAACACTATAAAAGAATGTGAAAAAAATATGTGGGAAAACATATTTTATGCTGTGATTGGAGTAACCAAATCTGCCAATCCCTGACCTTGGACTTGAGCCACCAGAATTGTTGTTTAAGCCATGTGGTCTATGGTACTTTGCTGTGATGGTTTTAGCAGACTAATAAGTCATGATATATGCTGGTTCAAATGGTGGAGTATCCCAAATAAAGCAGGTGAAGGTTCAGATTTTGTGTCATGGAAACCTAGATGACTTGGTGGTCTTTGTTATGAGAAAGAATACAGTAGCAAAAATGTCTGTGGAGAGTTTGGCTGCAATTGTTTCATAAAATAAGAATGGGAAAAGCAATGTTTTAAAAATATTTTTAAACATCAAAAGTTAACATTTAATGATTTCATCCATATTCCTTTAAGTTTACTTTCTTGAGTGTGCCTAAAACACTGTCGATGGAACTTTCACTGGGGGAAATGGAAGATTCTTATAATTCAGACTTATTCAATGAAGATTTTTTTTTTAATTAGAATAAAATATAGCCCTGCAGAAAAAAATTGTCACATTTTTATATAAATTGAATCTTTATTGGTACATTTTATTTATTTATTTTTCTTTTTATTGAGTTTATCAGTACTTTTAAAATATATAGTATAGTTATGTTCACCATTGATATCCTGTACCTTTACATGACATATCTTGGTTCTTAATTTTTCCCCATTCCCTTAGCCTCCCTTCCCTATTTTCAAAGACTCTGTTTCCATTTTTTTCCTTTTATTTTTTTCTCCCCTTTTTATCTTTCGCCTACACCTCCCGTTCACCCAATACCTTTAGACCTTTTCTTCCTATTGCAAAATATCAGTTATACATTGTGACCCTTATTTAAACTTTTAGTTTATCACACCAGAGAAACTATATGGTATTTACACCTGTGTCCTATTAATTTCACTTAAGAGTATATCTTCAATGTGCATCCACTTAGCTATAAATCTGTCTAGTTTCTCATTCTTTATGGCTGAGTAGTATTCCATTTTATATAAAAAAAACAAACATCTTTATGCAGTCTCTACTTTATGGGCAATTGGGCTGTTTCCAAGTTTTAGCTATTACAAACTGTGCTGCTATAAACATGGGTGAGCATACATCACTGTGGTATGATTCTTTTAATTCTAAATAAATTGGATTTTGCTTCTTAATCCATTCTGCCAGTTGATTTCTTTTGATTGGTGAATTGAGCCCATTAACATTGAGGGTTATAACTGATATGTACTGACATCATCATTGTGTTATTATCCTATTGTTGGCTCTTTTTAATTTAACTTACACAAAGAATCAACAACTGGGATCTCATCTTACCAAAAAGCTTCTGCACTGCAAGAGAAACTACCACAGAGCTAAGAGACAATCCACAATGTGGGAAAATGTTTTACCAGCTGTTCATTTTTCAGGTACCTACTTTTGAATTATATTTTGGGGGGGCCTGATATTTTTGAGTTGCCCTTGGTAAGCTGGAAGTCCGTGATTGTGCTTAAGTCTTGTTTGAATGTCTTCCCATTTCTATTTTTGTTGTTGGTACTGTCCTTTATTTAATACCTGGGTTAATACTTTGATCTTCCTGTTAGCTTGTCTTTAGATTGTGAGTCTCTAATGACTCTGAGGCAATCTCTTTTTTCATTATACCACAAAGGACAACTGATTAGATCAATCACATCTTAGCCCAAGTGATACAATCAGCAACAAAAAAGCATCAAGCACATCTTAGAAAATGACAGTTTGTGGTAGTTATTAATCTATCACCTAAACTGTGTGAATTAAATCAAAATTGAGGCTAGAGCTCAGGACAGTGGCCTTTATGACCCCCCTGTGCTTCTGTGGTATGATTCCAATTACCAGCACAGCCAGAAGTCTGGGTGGGGGTGCTGCAGGTGCCTGTGTGGCTCTGCTTCTTACCAGTCTGCTGCTGAGGTTGGGGGCTGAGGCAAGAGCTGCACACTATCTCCAGGCAGTTCCCTGCCATATTATTTTGTGTTGATCAAATTACCTTTAAAATTAAAATGTTCTTGTGTGTATAATTCACTTTATGAAAGTAAGTTTTAAATATGACAAATGCTGTTTAGATATATTCGGTTAGGGTTGATCTACATATTTCATAGATACATAGCATAAAGAGCTCTGTTTTAAAATAATACATTAAATTAGAACCCTCTTTATATCCAATTCCCTTATAGCACTTGCCACTGGGCCAACCTTCTGCCTTGCACAGAAGCTGTCTGGTCCAGATGATGACTGTTTGCTGGTTCGTAGAACATGCTGGTATCCACTGAATATAAATGCAGATGTCCAATGATGTCTTTCCATTTCTTTTGCATTGTGATGTTCTTTTTCTCTTTAAGAAACCATGTGTTTCTCATGAGTAGTCCCAGATTATGCATTTTCTTGAGTCTTGTTAATACAGAAGAAATTAATCTCTTCCCAAGTTTCTCAGTGATGATACCACATCCATTTTGAATGAGGACCTGCTCCAAAGTAGAGATGCATGGAGCAGTGATTATGTGAAGGGAACACAAACACAAGTTTTCTCGCCTAGTTATCTCTATCACAAAACAACAATGAATGCATATATCCCTATCTTCAAAGTTTTCCTACCAGAGAAATTCCGCCAACTCAGAAACTATTGTGCCAATCTGAAGGGCTTTTCTTGTTAAGACACAAAACCTTGTGAACTTCAGCTTGTGAATGAATATTATTGCCTTTTGTTAAACATGAAGAGATGCATAAAAATAGGTAATAGACTATAAACTGAAGCACGAGTTTCTGCAAGAGGGGATTTAGTGCATGTAGGTTCCACGCACATGAACTTTAGGTGCTTCCCAATTCCAAGTAGTTCAAAGAATATAATGACACTCATGAAGGAAATCACTCATGTGAGTAAGCATATGGGGTCTAAAAGAGATTGAACTTGTGCACACAACACTGGTACTGAGCTTTTTCAGGAGATCTGAGTGACAACATCAGTTGCTTGGTGTCAGATTGCTGCAGCATCTTGTATAATGCTGTGTATACAACAGGTGTTTAGTGAGTGGAAGAAGTGCCTTGTCAATATAGTTTTGGAAGAGATAGGGAAGACATTGGTGGAGATATTTTTAGAAAAAAAAAGTCTTAAATTATTTTCATCATGCCAGGTTTTTCCTGTAGTACATACCATTAAAGAAGGAATTTACTGAAGTATAGCATCTATGAAAAAATAGACCAGTATATTAAATTGAATAAAATATATGCTGCTGGAAAAATGATCCTGGAGTATTTATCAATGGCATGGGTGTTGATCTTCATGCTCACATAGCTGCTTCTCTTACTCTTCCTCTGAGGGGAGCTCCTCTCTGAGGCCAAGGTCAACTGTACCATCATCCTGTCGGGCTTCTCCCCATTTTCTGGTGTGTAGTTACCCAAGTCGTTCATCTCACCGTCACTGTAGCTGCCATCGAGCATCCCTGCACGGGACTGAGGTAGCCCACAGGTGCAGGGCAGCTGCAAACACAGCAAACACACACTGGCATGAGCTCAGCAGCATCCCTCAGAAGCCCCACCAAAGCAGCTGCAGGGTTCAGAGTGTCATCTTTTTCTAGTTTCTTTAATTCCCACTTAGGGGGAAAGGTAGGAAAATAATGGTGGTGCCACTGTAAACATCCTTAAATAGCACATATCCATTTTAAAAAACTAAAATCTATATAGTGACTTACAGAAAACAGCACAAGTTCATACCAGCGACAAACAACAATCTATTTGGTTAGAGTATGGGCCCTGATCTCCATGAGATGGTAAACACACTGACACTGACAAAATGTTTAAGAACACATGAGTTTGTGCCTTTGGTATTGGGTTGGGAACTGGAAAGACATGGCATTATGAGGTTAGCTTACTACTCTGGTTAGATTCTTCTGAATAACCATTGAGTTGCAGACTGGAGGGAAAAAGGAAAGCTAGGTGGAAGGAAGGTAATGTGGGAAATGATGGGAGATGTAGGAGGTCAAATATTAGGGAAAATGCCCTAGTATGGAGGATGTTCATCCCTGAAGTATTCTTTATTTTACATCTATGTTCATACAGTTTGTTCCACAATGTTAAACTGCCATTTTTCTTCTGAGAATCTATCATTAAACTCTGAACATCACCATGATAAAACAGACTATGTCTTACTTAAGTTGGCTTAGTGGCTTCTGGTACAGGATAGGTGCCAAATAAATGTTTTAGTGAATGAAAGCTATAGCCCAGACTAGATTTCATACTGTTATACATCATTTTGCTTGCTCTTCACAGCAAACTTGTGAAGCGAGTACAGGAAGGGTATTATGGTCCCAATTTACAGAGTCTGTTCTGCCCACAATCTCAGAATTGGACCAGGCCCCAACCTGCCCAGACCCTCTCAGTGCCTGGGAAAGTCACCTTCTCCCGCAGCTTCCGCTCCCTCCGCTCCTGCACGGTAGTCAGGTAGTTGACAGCCGCGTACTCCAGCACCGAAAGGAACACGAACACGAAGCTGACCCAGAGGTAGATGTCCACGGCCTTGATGTAGGACACGCGGGGCATGGAGGCGTTCACACCCGTGATGATGGTGGACATGGTCAGCACCGTCGTGATGCCTGCAACAAGCATCCAGTGAGGGATAAGCATGTGCTGTCTTTCACTAAATTCGAGATGACTAGGTGTTCCTTTCTTTGTCACCATTGCTCCCTCAGCCTAGAAAGTCTCTGCCCTGCCTCTCTGTCTAGCAAACACCTACTTATCTTTCAAGATTTTGTTTTTAGGAAAATTTCCATGTTCCTCTCCAAAACACACTACTCCTTCACCCCTTCATCACCTCTCTGCCTCCTGCCCCTCCACATGTAGCTCGTATATTCATCACACTATTGAATCACTATCCCTCTGCAGAGAACCTTGAATATTTTGACATTAAGGTACTACTTTCAATCATTTACTTTTTTTTTTTGGTACTGGGGGTTCTAACTTGGGTCTTTGCACTCGCAAGGCAGGCAGGGGAACCCCTGAGCTAAATCCCCGTCCCTCAATCATTTAAATAAGACACAAGATTGCTGGATTGAGCACAGTGGCTCACACCACTGTGAGCCAGGGTGAGGGGACTGAGGCAGGAGGAGGATGACAAGTTTGAGGCAGGCTGGACAATTTAACTAGATGGTATCCAAAGTAAAAAATAAATAAATAGAAGGGATTGGAGGTATAGTTCAGTGACGGAGCACCCCTGGGTTCAATTTCCCAGTACTGAGGGTAGAAATCCACATTTATTTGCATTATGTTTCTTATAACTATTCATTCAAAGGGAAGAAAGCATGTGAAGTTTATTATAATAACTTTTCCCTTGATGCTGTTGCAAAGTTCTATAGTCCTGGACCTGTCTTATTAGCTGTTGAACACCTCTGGCAGCCACCCCAAAGAGGACCCAGCTGTGCATCCAGCAATGTTTACTTGAGGACTTACAGTTCATTTTTACAAAGGATGATGGTTTGAACTTCATTTGTAGGAGACCAACTTAAAAACTTGAGTGTACACTTACTTAGCACACTAACTGAGCAGCAGAATAACTATTAGAGAACAGGGTACCATCCATGGAAGTTTGCCCAGGATTTCAAATTAAGCTCAGAACATTTGCTTGGCAAACATCAAATCACAGGGGGATTGGGGTCACCCCAGAAGCCAGCTCCCATCCATTTTCACTCTCTCTTGTTGCCTCTGAACCATCTGAGCAGTAGTGGTAAGTGTAATTAGTGGTATGTGTGATTTACTGCATTTAAAGTGAGGAAAATTTGATGGCAACTTGCCCCTGGTGGAATGCTTATAGAGAAGGAGTTTTCAGACTGCAGCATGTACAAGAAATAGTTGGGAGAGCTTGTTTAAAAATGCAAGTTCCCAGCCTCCCTCAGATTCTGATTCTGCAGATGAGAAGAGATACTAGACTCTTCATTTTTAATCATTTCTCTCTGAGATTCTGTCACTAAGATCCCTTGGGCTACCTTTTAACAAGCCCTGTTATAGAATAGTATCCCCTATATAGATGATCAGATAAATCATCCAAAGACAGAATCCTCCACCCTAAGACACAGCTCTACCACACCAAAGGTGAGCTCTTTGGACAGGCACGCGTGGAAACCTGGAAACAGTCTTGCTGTATAGAGTTTTAATAATGGGATTTTTGCCTGTGAATCAATATCTTGGGGAATTTTCAAGTTAGAATGCCAAAAGGAATATAGGATCAATTTGAAAAGAATGGTTTTACCTGGAAGGAATTATTTTTATTTTCAGGTACTTGGAATGTACACTTGAGAGGTTTCTTACCCAAGGGAACTCTGGCGGGCACAGCTCTGCGGTCAATCCAGAAGGACACCCAGGACAGCATGACCATCAGGGTCGCAGGGAAATAGGTTTGGAGCAAGAAAAAGAAGATGTGGCGACGCAAAGTGAAATTAATGTATAGGCGATTGTACCAGCCTGGAGGACACAAAGAAAAAAGGATAACACATATAGCTACTCAGCTCCTTCATATAAGAAATTTAATTCAGAGAATCAAACACCTTAGCCATTCCACTGGAGCTTTATCATACCTTTATAGGGTGGAAGTGAAAAGGTCAGGGAACCAAGGATTATATGATAACTCACACTGAGCAAATCCATCTCAAGAATCCATCCACCCCACACACATCCTAAACACAAAGGGAAGTCCTACAGAAGGTCATTTAAACTCCTGTTACTCAAGATCTGGTCTAGGATCCAGAGCCCTCTCTGTCTCCTGAGTGGTTGTTAGAAATTCAGACTCCTAACCACAGCCTACTAAAGCAGACTCTCCATTTAATAGTTTCCCCACATGATTTGTATGCAGCCAAAGATTGAGAGGCACTGATTTAAGCAGTTTAATGGGGGGGAGTGAAGATATACACCTGAGCACAATATTTGTATTTAGGCACAGAGTGAATGATCAGCTATGACTTGCTCTGCCCTTGTGTTCTTACATTGGGTTTATTTGGGGTTTTTTTGGGGGGTGGGTACCAGGGTTCAAACTCAGGCCCTTGTGCTTGCAAGGCAGGTGGCAAAACCACTGAGATAATCCCTGGCCCCTGCCCTTGTGTTCTTTACAGGGAAGAAAGATGCAAGGAAGAGGTGAAGGGAAAGGATGATGGGAGGAAAAAGAAAAGGCAGGGTAAGCATGAGATGCCTAGGACTGAGAATAAGTGGGGACATGGCATCACTAACTCAGAATTTGGCATCCTAGGCACTGCCTTGGGCATGCCTCTTGGAACCAGCAAATGATTGTGGAGAGGCCATCAGAAGGCTGAGGGTCAAAAGAACCAAGCCTTTTTGAGCAATGAACACAGATTGTCATTGTAGACTGGAGTAAAACAGTTCTCTCATTGATTAGAAGACTAAGTGTACTTAAAAGTTTGTCCATCCATGTATAGTCATACTTCGTTTTAGCAAGAGAAACTGCAAAAAGATGGAGCAAAATCATCCTGAAAGGTGCTTGATCAAAACACAGGCTTGGGTGGAGAGAGTTAACCTCTGCAGTTCAAACAGCACTGGTTGAGTGCCTGAAAGGCCACAGAGCATGCCCTCAAGGCAATAAGTGAAAGGTGTCTGTAGGAGCCAGACTGTTGACAAGCCTGTCAAGACCCTTGAGCTCCTACTTCCGGGAAGATGGCAGAGTAGTGAGCAGCAAAGAAAGAGCCTCTCCAAGATTTGGTGTCCTGACACTGGGATATAGTTGCTTGAGGAGGAGATAGAGGAGGGAAGTAGGTCCCCAGGACCCAAGAAGGATCTGAGGTGAGAATTGAAGTCTTCAGGGAGAGTGAAGAGAGAGACTTTAAGGAAGAGAAGGAAGGTCCCGGAGCCTGGACTCTCCTCGAGGGAATGGTAGGCTGAACCTGCAGACCCACAGTGACTACTGACGACCCCAGAGGCCTCCACGGAGAAATGCACAGTGGAATGGAGCAGTGGATACACCAGATTGCAGCAGCTGGTGAGTTATCCTTGTTTAGACCTCACCCAGGAGAGGGAGACTGGTTGGTAGCCATTTGGGAGAGGGACTAACTCAGAACAGCTGCAGGAGGACTCTATCTACTGGCTTCTGGTGCCTCAGTGCAGGTGCTCAGTTCAAATCAGCTGGTGGGCAGGGAGCAGAGTTCAAGCTGGCAGAACAGGAGATGCACAGACTGTTGTAGGTTCAAGACCCTTGACCCCAAGAGGAAAAAGCAAGAGCACAGGGGAATGATGGGAGTTCCTGTACTCAGCCTTAACAGAGGGTCATACAGAGGGGCTGTGTAGACAGTGCAGCAGAAATGATTGGATAACAGTGGAGCCCCCAGGGTGCTGGCTGGAACAGGGAGAATATGAATGGAAAGCAATGAATTGAAATTGGGGGGTTCTAGTGAGTATATCAGGGATGAGCACCATCTGCTAAGCTCAGTGTGATTGTCTCAAACCTACGACTTGGCTTATGCTTCAGTCCTTACTAATATTTCCTAGGTTATTGCTTCTGATGCATTGGTGGTATAAGAAAGTGACTTCCACCCTATGCTTGCCACATACTAGACTTCACTTTGATTTCAAATCAAGTGACACAGGCTCTGCCCACTTGATAACAAAATCATACCTTTCCTAATAGAGGATAAATCTGAAGCTTCCTGGGTACTTAGCCCCTACTCCATGCTCACCTGTGCTGCTGTAGAAAGCCAGTTTAGTGGCAGTGTGGAATTCTTGAATGAGGAACTGGGAGAGTGAAATCTGCTCATCTGTCTTTAAGGAGTCATTGCCTTTTTTCCAGTAGAGCATGAGGTCATCTTCTGTATAGGCATCTGAAAAGATAGGAGCCAGCGTCAGACAAGATGTGACTGTCTGGAGGCAGGGGCTACATGGCAGCTGGGTATTCTGATCTCCCACACAAACTACTGTATTGGGATTATGTTAAGGTAGTTTGCATAAACAAACTTCATTCTAAACAAAGCAAAACAAAATGCAAAAAGACAAATCTAATTCTCCTTGCTCTTCTGAAAGTCATCAGAAAATCTCAAGTTTAAAAGCTCATGATTCCTGAAAAAGGACCCAGCCCCACAGTTTAGCCTATAATTGTTAGGTTAAACAAAATGAAGTTGCTATTTTGTAGGTCAGAAGGGGTTAAATATTTGCAGAATTTCACATAATTCTGCCTTATAAACCATGGGCCATTTAACCCTTATTTTCTTTCTTTCAAAGTATAGGAATTCATTGATGGGTGGCAAATACCTTTAAACATTAGCAGGCAATAAGGACTATGTTCTACCAAGAGAGGACCTATGAAGTAACAGGGGTAGAACAAGACCACCTTCTATAGGCCTCGAGTTGTGCCAGCCCACCCAGGGTAAATTTGAATTGATTCCATGATCATCATGCTCTCTGGTGCTACCATTTCCCACAACCCCAGGCCCTTCAGGTGAATCCACTTCTGAGTCCAGTTGCACAAACCTACCTGCAGCCCAGACATGACTGAGGTAAAATCTAATGGAGTCACCAGTTCCATCTGTTCATGTGTAAAACATTCGTTTTGGGGCTCCCTGATACCATGTTTTTCCCATTTTCCAACCCTTGATCTATGTTATATATATATATATATATATATCTTGTGTAAGCTTGGCTGGCAGTACTACCCAGTTATTCAATCAGACGCTAATCTGTGCAGGAATTTTATAGATGTGACTCATATCTACAACTAATGGACTTTAAGTAGAAGAGATTATTCCTGGATGATCTAGAGGAGCCCAGTCCAGTCAGGTGAAAAGTCTGAAGAGCAGTGCTGAGGTTTCCTGAAGGAGCTTCCACCTGTGAGCTGTGGCATCAGCTCCTGCCTGAAAGTTCCTAGGCCGCCCTCTTGATGGCCTGTTCTGCAGGCACAGGAGAACAGAGTTGGCCTTACAACCCTGGGGACCAATTCCCTGAAATACATTTCTTACTAAGAGAATCTTGGTTCTGTTTCTCTGGCAGAAGTTTGACTACTAAAGCCTGGACTAAACTACGCTACAGATGGGGGCAGAGGCTGCCTGGCCAAGTGGGAATAATAAGGCTCTGGAGCCAACACATTTGGTATTTCAGCCCAGCTTTGGCTCTCAGCTCTGTGTCCAAAGCAAGTTCCACCCTTCTTTGAATGTCAGGGATCATAACACTCTAGCGGTACAGTGCTCCAATTTCTCCACATCCTCACAGCACTGTTTTCTGGTTTTTAATGGTAGCCATCATAGTGACTGTGAAGTGGTATCTTGCTATGCTGATGTGCATTTCTCTGGTAATTAGTGATGCTGAGCAGCTTTCCATGTGCTTCTTAGCCATATATATATATATATATTCTTTGGAGAAATATCTATTTGAGTCTTTTAAATTTTAATTCTTTTGTATTGTGACTATCAATTCCTTATCAGATATATAATTTGCAAATATTTCCTCCCATTTTTGGGGGTTGCCTTTGACTTTGTTGATAGTGCTGTTGTGTGTGTGTGTGTGTGAGACAGAGAGAGAGAGAGAGAGAGAGAGAGAGACAGAGAGAGATTCTGGACCTTGCAGGCAAGTGTTTTAATATTAAGTTACATCCCCAGCTACCTGATACTATCTTCTGATGCACAAAATATCAACATTTTCATGAAATCGGATTTGTCTGTTTTTTCTTTGATTGCCTGTGCCTGAAAAATCATGGACCCTGGTTTTTAAACTCTTCTAGGGCTTATATGTACATGCAGGTTTCCTGAGGTCTGTTGGTGGTACATGAGTTTCTACTCGCACATGAACTCAGCACTGTTCCTTAGGACAGTTGTTGCTAAAACTTCTTATTGCCAGGAAATCCTTTCTCAGCAGAAACCATATTTGCCCATCCGTTGGAAACTGGATAAAGAAGTTGTGGTTTTTCTATAAAATGGAATATTACTCAGCCATAAAGAACGAGAAAATAGATTCATTCATAGGAAAATGGATACATATTGAAGATATACTCCTAAGTGAAATAAATAAGTCACACATGTGTAAATACCGAATAGTGTCCCTGGTGTGAATAATCTGCAACAATGCATAAGATTCTAATAAGATTACTGACATTTAGAAATGGGAAGAAAGGAGCTAAAGGTGTAGGGAAGGTGGGGTGGGTAGGGGAAGAGTAAAAAGGGAAAAGAAAAAAATGTGAGAGAATGAAAAGGTGAAAATAAAGTGTTTGTAGATGGGGAGGGGAGGAGGGGGTGAAGGGAGGGCAGAGGTAAGGGGAAAAAATGAGAATCAAGACTTGCCATGTAGAGGTACATGATCCCAACAATGAATGTAACTGTACTGTATCCCTAAAATGTACCAATAAACTCAATTAAAGCTGAAAAAAAAAAAAGAAGAGCAATGAAACAGAGCAAAAAACAAGCTCTCTAGATGGTGTGTGTGTGTGTGTGTGTCTGTGTGTGTGTGTGTGTGTGTGTGTGTGTGTGTGTGTGTTTAGCCAAGAGCTTGGAAGGAGACCCACATTCACAAAGCCATCAACTCTCCTTCCCTAGCAGTTACCCTGGGGCGCTGTGAAAACACCTGCATCCAATGTGGTGACATGGTTTGAAACTGAATTAGCTTCAACCTAAAAAAATTCAATTTTAAAAGCATAGCCATGGGTGGGAAAGGCTTACTGCTCCTGCTGTTGACAGTCAGAGGTATTTAGAATTACTGAGAAATTGTATGCCCATGCCTAGCCACAATTCTACTCACAGCTTTCAATTTCAAGTGAGCATGTTTGTGTGTCCAGGGGAAACCGGCTGAAGTCCATGTTGCACATAGCAGTCACTGTAACCCTAGAAACAAAAAGACAAAGCGTAAGTTTTCAGAGCCTGTAAGATAAGTACAGAATGATAAGCAAACAGAAAGGCCTCCACTTCCTTGCAATATAACTGCCTCTTCCTTTTGAGGTGGCGGGTACTGGGAATCAAACTCAGGTCCTCACACTTGCAAGACAAGGCAGCAGCACCACTGAGCTAAACCCCTGGCCCTAACTGCCTCTATTTTATAACTCATAAGTCATGTCTCAGAATTTAGATAAAAAGCTCATAAGTACCCTCTCTGGAGGACTCTTAGGTATTTATATTTAACATTAGGATCAGTATGCAGCAAATAAAATGTGTCCCAGTATCCAGGCACATTCAACATTTTATTGCCTCTTTTCTTTTTTTTTTTTGTACTGGGGATCAAACTCAAGCCTTGCTCTTGGAAGACAAGCAATGGCACCACTGAGCTAAATCCCTGGCCCCACATTCAACATTTTAAAGAAGCAATAGTCTCAAGCAATATAACTGTGTGAAATAACGCTCATGTAGTTGGCCTGCATGTGTGCATGTGTTACACTGGGGATTGAGCCTCGTGAATGTTAGGATCACTAAAAAATCTATTGTGCTAACATGCAAGTACTTGCTAGCATCTAATGATTTTGTTTCAGACTTTACACAGGAACATAGGCATCTGCATCAAAGAACAAACAATACAAATCATTACAGATAGAAGAAAAGGCTCCCATCCAGTAGGAAGCTGTATAGCAGGACACAATTAACTGTTGGCAGATATTGAATGTACTATTTTTTCCTCCAACCACACAAAGTTTGGTATGTATAAATTGTGAAAATAATCTGCATAATTTATGCCTAAAAAGAAACACACACACACACACACTCTCTCTCTCTTTCGTTAGGCAATTTAAATAGAAAAAGGTAAAGAACATTCTTGAAATGGAATTATTCTCAAAATTATTCTCAAAATGGAATTATCCAAATATTTTCCCCACTTTCCCCACTGTGAGTGTGAAATGCTTGTGTCTTATTGGGTATTTAGGATCACTGGCAGCTGGGCGGGCTAATGCCCGCTTAAAATCCTGAAAATCTAGGTGTATCAGGATGTACTGAAAGGGGATTCAAGCATTCCTTGCCTCAGACACCTGATGGGTGGACTTCCATGGTTTTGGGTGCAGTAAAACTGCCCAATGGCATAACCAGCAAGAAAAAAACAAGAACTAAGTTTGGGGACACTTGGAGCTAACTGTAGGGACATGAAATATCAAATGCAGGACTGTTTTGTTAAACGAATCAGTATTGAACACCTCTTTGTATTAGCTTATATACAAACAGATGTTTTGAGAATCACAGACATCTTCAGACTAGCTCTTCCTGCTCTGACTTGATACTTTTCCACTCATAACCTATATATTGAATAAGTGTCTGTCGTGTAACCCAAACCCATGCTTCTTTTTGTTTCTCTATGTGCTTTTAAGTCAGTTTACTGGGGAAGATCATCCTTTGCCCTGCATGGGAATTTGGCAAGACCTGTGTTTTTTCTGCTCACTCTCACATGATAGTCAAAATTGTTCTTGTTTTGTTTTTTGTTTTTGGTGCCAGGCATCAAACTCAGGACCTTGCACTTGAGAGGCAGGTGGCAGAACCTCAAAACTTGCAAGTCACAAACCACGTCTCAATTCAGTTATTAAGCATTTTGGTCTGAGATGTTAATCAATACTTGAAATTTCATTCAAATTAAGAATTCTGCTCTCCTTCTTATATATGGAGATACACAGCTGACATTTGAGCAGTTGGTTTCTGTCCACGTCTGATCATCGTCATGACAGGTAGAAATGAGAGGAAAGAGGGAGGTGGGGTGAGTGTCTGGGCTGAGCGGCTTCATGCTTTATGGACCTGCCACATGGGGGAAGCCGGTAGTTTTCTCCCTGGGATCTTCATGCCCACAGCTAGCTGGGCACCCCATACTACAAGTCTCAATTCTCTAGTAGCAGCCCTCCCTCCCAGCTCTTGGTTCACTCACCATCACACCACACACTCTTAACTATTCCCAACACTCCTGGGGTGCAGACTGAACCCAATACATCAAGGACTTCTGGCTCTGTCCCCAGGGTGGCTAGACAGCTTCCTTCTCCCTTCGAACTGCACAGTGCTCCCCAACTGTAGGCACACACATACCAAGCTCCCCAAGTTTTCCTGGGGAGGAGCCACTCACCAAGAAACACTGCACAAACCTTTTCTTCTTCCCACAATCATTGACTCTTTATACCTTGAATTCAAAAGCCATGGAATTACTTTCTCAACATTCCTTAGTAAAATCTACCCACTGTGATGGAACACTTCCTTTGTGAATTTTGAGTTTTAGTTCAATGCCTGGAAAACTTTGATTTTGCCACTATTCCCTTTGCTCCCTGCCCCTCTGCCTACTAGATGGCAGCCACATCTCAACTTTCACTGTTCATTTGGTTCTATCCCTGTCCTCCCCTATGTTGCAGCCACATTGAGTGGTGACTGTATTACTCATCTTTACATCCTCAGAGTCTGAGACAGGACCTGACAAGGCTCTTATTAAAAACTGTTGAATGCAGCTGGGGTGTCACTCAGTGGTGAGAGCTTTTTACGTGCACGAGGCTCTGGAGTTTTATCCCCGGCACCACAAAAACAAATCAAAACAAACAAAAATCTGTTGAACGAATGAGTGAGTGGATGAGGTGGGAGAATAACCTCAGCATGAACTTTAGGAGCTGACTAGCTGCTGAGAGAGCTGCCACATCGTTCCAAAAATGAATCTCATAGTGGTAGTTCCCCAGTAACATAGGCCTCATTTAAAAAATTTAAATCAAACAAACATATGCCTTTGTTTGTAACAAGAAATCAAATAATCTGTTTTCCGGCACAACGACAAGAAAGAGGTGTCTCCCTTGGTGAAGTTCACTAAGGTTTTCCTGAATATACAGTGGGTTTTCCACTTCCTGTTTCCTCTGTTCTGCTTCTTGTGGTCACATCTAGAGGTGCACCAAACTAGACTTCTACAGTTGTTGGATTTTCCAGAAGTTTGTACTCCAGTTGTTAAGCGGAGCCACCACTGAAAGTTAAATTTAAAATTAAATAAGTTGTTGCTACGGTTTGAATGTATGTGTCCCTCCAAAATCCATACATTAGAACTTAAACCACAAAGTGGTATTAAGAGGCAAGGAAGGCCTTTGGGAGGTGACTGAGCCATGAAGACTCTGCCCCCATGGATGGGATTAGTGCCTTTACAAAGGGACTAAAGGAAACCACCTAGCTTTTTCACTGTCCATCCTTCTGCCACGCGAGGACACAGCAAGAAGGTGCTCTGTGAGGAACAGGCCCTCACCATGCACCAAAGCCACTGACATGTGGATCTTGTACTCCCATCCTCTAGAACTCTGAGAAAATAAATTTCCATTCTTTTCGTTTATTTGTTTTTCTATGGTACTGGGGATTGACCCAGATATTCACATATCCCTGGCAAGTGGTCTTCCATGGAGCTATCCCCTCAGCCCTTCATTAGTAGTATTTTTCATTTTGAGACAGGGTCTCACTAAGTTGCCCAAACTAGGCTCAAACTTGGGCTCTTCCTGCCTCAGGAAGGAGCTGGGGATATAGGAATATGCCACCATGCCCAGTTTAAATTTTTGTTCTTTATAAATTACCCATACTCTGGTATTACATCAGCACAAGTAGACTAAGACAGTTACATTAAAAACATGAGTAATAAAACTCAAAACTCATCACTTCCCAGTTAATGTAACTCCATCCGTCTATCATCTGTGCTCCTGTCCGCGGGTTGGGAGTGCGGTTCAGGGCTGTGCTGCCCACAACTCTTTCCAGCTCTGCTTTCAGTGACTTCAGTCTGGCAGCTTGAAATCAGCCATGATAGGAGCATCTGCACTATGGAACTTAGTACACCAGGACTTGGTTTATTGGCTTATTGATTGTCTAGACTAAGAAAGTGCTTTAAAACCAAAAGTGATCTGTGTCTGATATCATTAGATTTTTAATAGTGCCGTACACTGAAGAAACATTCTTTAGTATTTGAAAACTATCATCCAACTTAGCAAAAATATTGCACATTTCTTTGGTGAATGAATGAAGTTCTCACACAGCACTTCATTGTCCCATTCTTTTCGTATTAATGTACACAAAAATATCAACCAACATTCATTCATCAAATCTATACTCTCTTGTCAATCACATAAGTGAGAAAAATGAATATAAACATTTACTCGTAATCTGACTTTGCAGAACTATTGTTGGTGATAGAATTATAAAGACAGTGGTTTTTACAAGAAAAGGGTGATCATGCTCAAGTTATATGTTTATGGAATTTATAATTAATATATATACCACTCAGTATTATTTCAAATTTAAATCATGTGCTTTATGTCAGTAATTTTATAGTAAATTTTATGTCTGTGTATGACCCCAGACAAGCAGCTGCTAAACATTCACTAACACACCATAATGTTTTACGGTCTAGTTCTTTGAAGCCCTGGTACTACCCTGGGCTTGTGTTATCTTTCGGGATTTTGAACCTTAAGATACCTTGACAACCTGTCATAACAGAGGATCCAGGGAGAACGTGTTCAACATCCTTGACCCCCTGGAGGTGACAACATTTTAAGCTCTGGAGATGAAAATTCCATAATCTCATTCTAAGTCTGGTACCTGCTTAGATTCCAAGCCAGAATGAGTATTGAGGGGTCACTGTAAATATTCCTTTGGGGGATGTGAACAGAAACTTGGTTTCACCATTTCCGAATCCAAAGGTAAACTGCAGTCATCCGGGAAGCCTCTTCTTAGACGTTAGTGTGGTTCATCTTTATCATTCATCGAAACATAAGCCAAAGCAAGTTCATAAACCTGAACTGCACCATCTGTGCCACAGAAGAGGAGTAAATCAGAGCAGATAACACATCCCTTCTCTGCGAGGACCTGAGCTCACTTCCATCCTTCCTCCTTCCCTCCCAGGGAAATGACACCATGTTGCCTGCTGTGTTGAGGGAAAGCTTCTGTGATTCAGAGCTCCAGCAGCAGTGAAACATTTCTAAGGTATCTGTGTTCACGAGAACAGGTTTTATACTGTAAATCACGGAAATGATGCTCATAGTGTCACTTACTGTCATAAAGTGGCCCAGAGCTCCATAGTTTTTCAGGATAGAAAAATATGCATGTGGCTGGCCAGATGGGGTGAAGGGCTTTTTAAAACTGAAGCCCTAAGCCAGGCGTGGTGGTGCACGCCTGTAATCCCAGCACTTGGGAGGCTGAGGCAGGAGGATTGCTGTGAGTTCAAGACCAGCCTGGGTAGCATAGTGAGTTCCAGGTCAGTCTCAACTACAGAGTGAAATCCTGTCTCAAAAAACCAAAATAACAAAAACAGAACAAAACAAAAACTGAAGCCCTAAACATATACCCCCTCAAAACCAGGGACTAGAGATCAGAAAAGCAAGTTTTGTTTGTTTGTTTGTCTATTTTAGACAAGGTCTCACTATGTGTAGTCCAGGCTGGTCTCAGACTTGCAATCCTCCTGTCTCAACCTCGTAAGTGCTGGGATTATAGGTGTGTGCCACCACACCAAGCTAAATTATTTTTATTAAATTTCTAAACATTAAAATATATAGGATAAGGTATAAACCATAAGTATCATCTTGAGAAAGTTCCCAAATGTGTTTCCAAGATTGAATAATTCTTTAAAATTTCTACTCGTGGGCTGGGGATTTAGCTCAGCGGTTC